ATTTTATGAAAGTTTTTTTTCGTAACTATACTTTTATCTTGGCCTACATGAAAAAATGTACAAGCCTAACTTTTTTTTTTCCATCTTGAAACAAAACTCGTAAACAACAGTCATTAGAGCCGCATTTCTAATGTGTAAAAAATGGCTAGTGAACGATTCTTGGAATCATTAACTAGTACGTAAGAGCGAGAGAGAGAAAGAATTTCAATTATATACATTAAGAGATCAAAGGAGATAATGTAAAATAAGGTTTCGTTATTACTTGTGTCTTTGTCGGTGGTCAAAAAATATCGCCCGATGTTGAATAACAACCGACAAAACAACAACACTGTCATTAGTTTATAATTTCGCCCCTTTTTTTTTGATTAAACATGAACATATGCCACATATAAATTAAACTCCTTCATTATGTAAAACAAAAAGTAGTTCCTCGTGGAAATATGTAAACATAAACAACAGAAACTAACGATTTCTCAACATCCCGAGCAACAAAACATAGTTTTAATTATGGAGTCGTTACGCGACGACTACTCATGTGATACCTTAATTAAGCTCCAAGAAATCTTAGTCTACTGATGTGTTCTTGCTGGAAACAAGGTATTTCTAAAACAAGATAGGAAGATGATTTCCACATAGATTGTGTCGATACTCAATACAAACCCAGGAAAAACAAAAATTCACTATTTTTGTTCCTGTGTTTGTACTAAGACCCAATATTTTTGTTCCTGTGTTTGTACTGAGACCCAGCATTTCTGTTCCCGTGTTTTTATTGAGACCCAATGTTTTTGTTCCGTGTTTTTATTGAGACCCAGTATTTTTGTTCCCGTGTTTTTATTGAGACCCAATATTTTTGTTCCCGTGTTTTTATTGAGACCCAGTATTTTTGTTTCTGCGTTTTTATTGAGATCGTTCTAGTAATTTTATTCCTGTGTTTTTATTGAAAGCGTTTCAGTATTATCGGTTTTATCGTGATCATTCCAATAATTGTAATGAGATCGTTCCAATATTTTTGTTTTTATGAAAGCATTTCAATGACTCTGCTGTTGTGTTTGTACTGAGATCTGACAATTTTGTTCCTGTATTTTTATTGAAAGCATTCCAGTGTTATTATTTTTTTTATATTGAATTTTTCCGCTGTTACTGTTCCTGTGTATGTCTAGAAATTGTTCCAGTTTAATCATTCCTTTCTTAACATTATGACCGTTTCATTATTACTGTTCCAGTTGAATCATTCCTTTCTTAATATTATGACCGTTTCATTATTATTGTTCCAGTTGAATCATTCCTTTCTTAATATTATGACCGTTTCATTATTATTGTTCCAGTTTAATCAATCCTTTCTTAACATTATGACCGTTTCGTTATTATTGTTCCAGTTGAATCATTCCTTTCTTAACATTATGACCGTTTCATTAGTATTGTTCCAGTTTAATCATTCCTTTCTTAACATTATGACCGTTTCATTATTATTGTTCCAGTTGAATCATTCCTTTCTTAACATTATGACCGTTTCATTATTACTGTTCCAGTTGAATCAAGGTTAAACACAAAGTGTGTACTGATGCTATTCTAGGTCCCATGGTAACTCTGTCTGTCTAATCATACATCTATTGGTTAAACACAAAGTGTAATACTGGTGCTACTCTAGGTTCTATAGTAACTCCATCTATCTGATCATATATCTCTTCGTTAGACATAAACTGTAATCCAGATGCTAATCTAAGTCCCATGGCAACTCTGTCTATCTGATCATTTTTCTCTTGATTAAACACAAAGTTTGATGCTGGTACTAATCTAGATTCCACAGCAGCTGTGTCTGTAGGGTCATATATCTTTTCTTCATATGATCATGTTTTTCAGCTGTGTCTGTAGGATCATATATCTTTTCTTCATATGCTCATGTTTTTCAACATCATTTAAAATGAATATCGAAAAATTAAAGTCGATCTCTTCAGGACAACGTATAAGAAACATTAGAAACTTTCAAGTCAAACCATTTTTGATTTGTTTTTTATCATTACTTGTATTATTATATTTTAGTATATTGTGTGATTATCCAGTTATCTGAATATATACCAGCTATCTTTGTATTATATACGAAAATACAAAAATTACATAGATGTCTTATATGTAAATATTGGTGTATGTATATTTATTAAAGGTACATATATGTGTAGAGCCTATATATATAAATAATATTTTAATAAACAGAATGAAACCGGCATTAGATTAAATGAATAGTACAGAACTACTTTTACTGCTATAGATGACTGGGGAGTTTGTTTTTAACCCAGATAACATTAAGGGTTAAAGCAAAAATTTTACTTTTTGATTCTTGCCA